AATGTTCCACACAAACTGAAGTTAGTCACGGCGTTCCACAGGGCTCTGTGTTAGGTCCAATTCTCTTCACTTTATACATGCTCCCTTTAGGCAATATTATCAGGAAGCACAACATAAATTTCCATTGCTATGCAGATGATACTCAGTTATATTTGTCTATGAAGCGAAATGAATCAGATCAGCTGGGAGCTGGTCAAACTTCATGTCTTAAAGACATAAGGGCCTGCATGACCTGTAACTTCTTACTTCTAAACTCTGACAAAACGAAAGCCATTGTGCTTGGGCCTGAAAATGTTAGAGATCTGCTGTGTAATCATATAGTTACTTTAGATGACATAGCTCTCGCCTCCAGTACTACTGTGGGGAACCTTGAAGTAATTTTTGACCAGGATATGTCCTTTAAATCACAAATAAACCAAGTCTCTAGAACTGCCTTCTTTTACCTGCGCGATATTGCGAAAATCAGGAGCATCCTGTCTCAAAGTGATGCTGAAAAACTGGTCCATGCATTTGTTATTTCCAGGCTGGACTACTGTAACTCTTTACTAACAGGATGTCCCAATAATTCCCTAAAAAGCTTCCAGTTAATCCAAAATGCTGCAGCCATTGTACTGACAGGAACTAGCAAGACAGATCATATCTCTCCCATATTAGCTTCTCTCTATTGGCTCCATGCACATCAACCTGACCAGTGTTTGATTGTTTGTTGTGTCCTGTTGCTTTTCTTCTTTTGTCTCTCCTCTATCCACTCACCCCAACCGGTCGAGGAATAATAGTGATAACAGTAAGGTCTAGACCTTACTTTGTAAAGTGTCCCGAGATGACTTTTGTTGTGATTTGGCGCTATACAAATAAAATTTCATTCGATTTGATTTGACGGGAATTTTGTTTTACCAAGACTGTAACAGAGATACTTTATCTACTCGATTGGTCTGAAGTTTTAAGAAATCCTTTAAAATAAACATCCGTTGGGTTGAACAATGAAAATCAGACTGTAAATTGCACAATGTAGCTGGCTGTCCACCAAGAGCCGGGGTCTGTCGGAGGTTTCTTCGGTTAAAAGGAATTTTTCCTCCCCACTGTCGCCAAGTGCTGCTCAAGGGAGTTAGGTTTTCCTCTATAATAATAATAATGATAATGATAGCAAGGTCTAGACCTTACTTTGTCCTGAGATGACTTTTGTTGTGATGTGGTGCTATACAAATAAAACGGAATTGAATTGAATTGAACTGGAAGCACTCCATGAGCCTTACTGTGTCTGAGAAGCTCTGGCCCAGTTGTCTGACCTTTACAATTGGCCCATGATAAAGTTTTTACACCTGCCCATTTCTCTTGTGTCTAACGCCTTGAGGGCACTCACTTAGTGCTCAGCATCTAATACGTTCACTGATGTGTGCTGTTGCTTTGAGATACTCAAAATTATCTGCTTCGTCTGTGAGCAGTCCTTAGGTTTTAGCTCACCAGTGTAGATTCGTTCATGAAAAAAATAATCAGCAGATAATTCATTAATGAGCTGGTAATTTATTTTATTTTTGCTTTTAATTTAAGCCCTCCATAAAAACAATGCAGACTGTGATAAATAAACCTTTTGTCGCAGTTTTCAGCATGACCATTTTCAATAAAGTTTTATAGTATTTTAATAATGTTTTAGACATTTTACATAAATGTTCTGTTTTGAAAATGTCGCGTGGAACCCACTGAAAATTACATTTCATTTTGTGTTTGCTCTTCTCTGCCATCGAGCCTTAGGGTGGCAGTGTGTGCGCTGAAATCAGCAGCCGGTGGACCTGCAGCTGCTGGTGTGTGATTACAGATCCAATCAGGTCTTGCACTTTCCGTGGATTATGCAAGAGCATGTAATACTTGCAAAGGCTCTGGGGAGAAATATAAATTCCTGAATGAGGAGCCAGCAGCGATGGAGCCTGTGCACCATCAAAAGTAATGGACAGAAAGGAGAGTGAGGTCAGCCACTAATACACAATTGACTGACCTCACTCTCCTTTCTGCGTGACTTTCAGTGGACATACAGTAAAACACGTGTGTGTGTGAATGGGAACAGGGCAGAGACTTGTGTGTTACTGTGTGCTGAGCCTGACAGGAGGGAGTTAGTCATGTTCAGGTATGTCCAGAGGAAATGAGTCTATTCGCTGCCTTTCCTCAGTTCAAACATTCCACTCAGCTAACCGCTGACACACCTGTGCATCATCCTTCTCTCCTCTCCTTCCAGTGATTGGCACTCAGAATAGTGCTGCCTCACTGATAGCAACCTGTGGCTGATCTGGTTTCAGATTCCCACAGAGGTTGGCTTGCAGTTTTTCCCCAACTGGACTGCAGCTCCACTCAATATTTAACAGGGGGAATCAATATAGCCTGACTATGTTGAATAGAGAGCGGTCACGCATGGTTTGGATGTGGAGCCGATCAGTTCATTCGTTCCATTTGATGTACTTCAAGACTACCCTATCAACTCTGCTGCAATCTTTAAATAAGGATTAGAATTATGCTAAATTTATGATGTAACCTGGCTGCAAAAATGACAAGATGATGAATAAGATACACAAAAAAAATGTCTAGCTTCAAATAGTTCAACTGTGCAGGCAACTTAGAGGAGGAGCAGAGCAGCAGAGTGGGCTCAGGATCACAGCTCCCAGCGAATCCATAACACCAGTCAGGTTGGACAGCACAGGTAGCAAGGTGATGTTGTGTAACTTAGTGTTCTGTTCAGGTTTCAGCAGAAGAAGCCAAAGTCTGTGATGAACCCAGACCTACAGAGGTTTATGAAAGAGGAAGGACAAGAAAATGTATTTGCTGCTTTACTGTCTAATTCCAATCTTGCATGCTCTTTAGCTGAACAGAGGGAGTGGAAAGTGAACATTAGAAATACCCAGCAAACTGAGCAGCAGTAACCACCAACTACGGTACTTTTCTTATTACTGTTAAGTATTTTGCTGACTTAGTGTGTCCGTTCTGTTTTATGGTCATTTTGAGACTGGAGCTACTTTGTAGTTGTAGCTGTGGACTGTAATATGAAAAGTTGTTTTTGATACAGTTTTTCTTCACAAACTACAGAATTAAAATGATCATAGAATCTGTTATTGAACTATGTAAATCGTATAACCTCAGTGTACTACATGACCCTTGTGTCTCCCAGTGGTTTTGACGTGCCAGTTCATGTCAGAAGTGCTGGGCCAATTCTTATTGCTACCCCTGGATGATTCACAGTGATGATGATTGGTAAGTGTGTGATATTTCATTTTACTACTCACTATCGACTGAACTACTGAGTATGCAGCAGTGAAGTAGAGAACAAGGGAGTGCTTTCAGACAGCCTTGTTTCTTCCTGGGGAGGTTTAAGCTCTTGTTTTGCTTTTAGTGATAACACCTTTCAAATGTTTCTCTCAAACATAGTGCACAAAGAAATTCACATAGGAAGGCATCAAGCTAACTCAGAGCTACACAGCAGTCTATCTAAAGTTTGTTAACATTAGCCATACTAAGCTGCTGGTCAGTCCAGATCAAGTAAAGCTGTCTTAGCACAAACCATAGTCAACACACATGATATGTAACAAGACATTCCACTTTAAAAATACTAAAGATATATAGTTTGTCCACCAGTGAGCACTGGCACAGATCCTGATGCAAAATATTTCTTTATGCTGTATTTATATACAAAAACCAATACTGCTTTCCAATCAGCACTGTCCTTCTTTACCGCTGTCCCCTCCCGTCCCCCAACTAAATGCCCAGCGCTCTGCCCCAGCTGTCCCACCTCCAGAGATGAGACAGATGGCGCTGAGGAGGCCTGTCTCTGTGTCGTCCATCTCGATGGGCAGCAGCTGGTTGGCAAAAGTGAACACCAAGTCGGTGAGCGGGCCGAAGCCAGCATTGTGCATCTGTGTCCGATTGAGGGTCAGCCCGTCTGAAAAGGTCATTGTGTCCTGGTCGGGTGTGTACCTCGTACAGATACGCAGAATCTGACAGGGTGGGAAAGAAGGCAGAGACAGGATCAGTCAACAATGAACCAGTGCACAGGAAGCTTAACTGACCTCCAGTTAGAGGACTCATCTATAGAGGAGAAGCTGCAGATAGTTTGCTCAGAACATCTCTATGTTGAGCAGTGTTTTGCTCATCAACTAAAAATAAAAGACGTTATTTTGGAAAGTAAAACTCTCTATTAAAAGCCACTGTATTTCAGTGTGAAAGTCATTAGACTATATATAAAGCAGAGGGTTAGAGGGAAAGTGATGAACATCTTTGTTTTCTGCTTCTCTGATATTCTCGCTTCACTCAGAACGAGTGTGACGTTGATGATATCAAACTAAAAGAACAACTCTTTTAGCTTCTGTAGTCTGTAAAATAACCTAGAAAATAAGGCACGACTTCACTGAACCACTTACTGAAATGCATCTTTCTACCTAACGGTGTTATTAAATAAATCTGTTAGTAACAGTTTACTGCTCAGAGGAGACCAAAACAGACTGGTAACGAGTGAATATTAAATGGAAACACACGCACGACTCCAAATGGTTCTAAATTTGCACAGTGTCTGCAAAATGTTCTTAACTTGTTCTGTTGGCCCCAAGCAACAAAAAAGGATTCCTGCAGCTTTAAAGTGAGAAAACATCTGTATGTTTTTATGTATACATTTGGGGAACCAACCCTTTAACAAGAAAAAAAGAAAGACATAAAATGGACAAAAAAAAATCACACTCCCCTGCAGGTTAAACCACCATATATCCTTAACACAGCGTCTAGTTTTTACTTGGAGACTGACTTGATATATCAGTTTGACCCCACACATAACTAACAGTAACAGCGTGTTGGGACCGCAGATTGAGACTGGATGTCAGAAGTCTGCAGCAGGTCTAATAACCAGAAAGCACAACCAAAACAATGACCTTCCACATACTCAAAGAGAACAACCTTTGGTTCCCCCTGCCACAATGCATGTGTATGTTTTGTGTGTTTGTGTGTGCAGCTAATGAAGCAAATGATGGTGGATGTGAAGCCCATAGTCTACAGTCTTTGAAGCTATTTGAGTGGGCTGGCTCTGACAGTGAGTGGCAGGCATGTCTGCAACATGAAACGGAATAAAACATGGCTACTGGCTGCGACGCACACCGGCTGGCCAGGCCTGCACTACACACGCATACACATGCACTCAGTATACACACATGCTGTAGTTTTTGATCACCCAGCCCCTGCGCACATTATCTACGCCCTTCACCACAGAAATGTGTTGGTGAGTGGATGTTGATGGCTGAGCAAGAGCCAAAAATCATCACAGCTGGCCTTCAACTTCTCACCTCTGTGTCGCTGGGAATTCACTGTTGCTCCACTGCTTTGTCATATCTGACAAGTACTCACATCCATTTATTAAAACGACACCGCCACAGAAACCGAACCTTTTAAAAACATGCACACACTGAATCACAAATATGGTTCAGACTGTTCCTCATTTTCATCAGGATTCATTTATCCAGGACATGTCGGGATGTTGTTTAGCTGCTTTGCATTTACACCCCACATTAACATGCATCTTCATGCATTAATCATAGATGCTGCATTCCCTCAACATAATGCTGATCATCCTGATTTACCAACATCCTTATAAAGCACTTATGGATTATAATTAATGGATTTATGATTTAATACTAATGAATACACCAGTTACGTGTGTATGCAAGTTGGCTTATGTAAGAGTTTATTTTTCTTGTTATCTCTGCTTTTGGTAAGTGCTATATAAATAACCTAATTAATTACTGTTTTTATTAACTTAATCATGACCGACCAGTAACTGTGTAAATAAAATGTTTATTTATGGCAGTTAAAACATTATTAACACTTGTTTTGTTACAGTGTCTAACTGAGTGGATTGTGCTCACTGACGGTTTTTTATCAAGTCTAGGCAGTGTTACATTCTTGTAGCTCTCAGAAATCAATAAGAGGCTGTCAGGTGGATTGTGGGCACATGAAATGTAAGACTTTGACATCAGAGACAAAGGTTCACATCCTGAGTCCCATGCGCAGTTAGGCTCAGGATACAATAACACTTGGCCAAGGTTGGAAAAATATCTTGGTTTTCTTTACATTTTGAAAACATAAACACACATTTTGTCTTGTTTAGCAACAGACAGAGTCGAGGAACTGAAGCTACAGCAGCTTAAAAAATAAAGCAACTCTCACTGCATTGTTTTTATTATTGACCAGCCGCTGATGTATAAAACATTAGTAATTTTTAACCATTAATAAACCTGTTATTTAAAAAATATGAACTCTGCCCTATTAGAAAGTTATATAAAACTCAGAAGTTGACCCTTTGTCACCTGCAGTTAAACAGTTAGCAGTTAGGTGTAAGAGTATATTCTACATGTACCAATATGTGCACTTAACCATTTAAGTATGCTTTGGAATGTAAGTTATTGAGATCTATTACGCAGCCAAACATTTATAACATGTTCTAGTAATAAGCTACATGACAGTGAGGCACAATGTTAGGTAACCTAACATCAGTCACAAGTCAGTGGAATTTGATCAGTTGTTAAGCACCATAGGCCTGGAGACAGAGAGACCCAAATTGCAACACTTGTATTCGAAGCACAGGGCTGGTGTGACAGGGTCCCGGTGGAGTAGTACACAGACACAGCAAGTCTTGCCGGTAATGGGGACCAAGTTGGCTGGACGGCTAGGAATGGGACCTGGCTGCGGCCTGGGGTGTGGTGCTGGAGGAGGGAATGCTACAGAGACCACTGGGACCAAGGCAGCAGGGGGGAAGAGGAGGAATGAATACTGTGAGTGTTGGTACCGGAGGATGCAGGGTTGTGGAGTGGAGATGAGGACCCACGGAAGGAGTGGAGGATGGAGAGCACAAAGCCAGGAGCTGGTTGAGACAGGGGAGGTGAAACAGGTGAAGAGCAGGTGAGGTGCGTGCTGAATGGCAGACTGCTGGAGAGGTGACAGGAGATGCAACGCCGTGCAGGGCACACTCTGGCTGGAGAGGAGAAGCAGGAAGCTGGCTTGGAAACAAGAGCATGGGAAGAAGGTGCATATACAATTGCGAAGGGGAGCCTGGATCTGTTCAGGAGTGAACATAACAATCTGGCGACGATAGCACACCAGCGCCCGGCTTAAGTGGAGTTTGGCAGATTGGTCTCGTCGCCTAGACCGGTTGCTGGCACATGAGGAGGTGGAGGTGCCAGCAGTGGACATGACATCAGCGGGTTCTGTTTCTGTACTGATGGTACAAAGACAGTGCTTTTTGTTTGTTTTTGCTCTCCATAAAGAGGGAAAGCAAACATTGTCCTAAAATTTACAGCAACTCTTTAAAAAGTCAAGGATAGAAAATATTCCCACTACAGCATGCCAATTAAAAACAGAACTATTACGTAGCTTCACTGTACACTGTTACTTCCAGAACCACATTTAGGGCATATGAGACACACTCTGTTGAGATCCTTGATAATGTGGCAGTATGGGGCAGCGAGGTATAATGGGCCCAAAGCCTAAACCAACTTATTACTTATGCTCCAACAGTGCCACCCAGGGGAACCTCAACCTGGATCAGCTGCACTGCAAACCACCACCTAACCATACGGCTCCAGGGGACCAAGGAAATGCACATCTGAGCAGCAACTTCTCCCTTAGATATAACCGCACACAGGTGCCCAAGGATAGTTAAATAGACAGAGAGGGAGAGAACCCCCATCCCCCGCCACACCAACACTAAAACCTCTTATACTACTTCTACTCCTAATAGCCCACTAATCGTACTGACAATTAAACCCCGAATTATAGTCCAGGTCACACAGTATGACCATATGAAACATACCAAGCCTGTTATCTCTTTTTCTCCATTCCTCTCTCTCCAAGTAATGAATGTTAATTAAATCACAGCCTCCCTCACAGCCACACCAAGTGACAGCCAAGGAGGAACAGGTACAGCCATTTCCCTTTTCCATCCCATTAGTATGGCTACATCAATACATACACCATTCCACTCAACTACTTGTAAGAAGGAAACGAACATTAAGTTGTGGGCAGCCAGCATACATGTCCACACCTGTACTCCATAAAGTGCACAGCATCATTATCAAATGCAGAACAAGTGACTGTCCAATTTTAAAACAACAGACAACCATCCCAAAAAAGACATGAGGCTGAGAAATGTTTCTGTTTGCAACCTGATCTCCACTACAGACAGCTACTTCACATGAAGAATTGAATCTACCTGCATGATCAGTGAACTAGATCTTGCTGACTCCCACCGGCCAGCTAAAGACTGAGGACTGGAATAATGGGATCAGAGCTTGAGGTTAAACCCACCAACCCCCAAGAGATCTGAGGTTATTGACTTACCACAGACTGAATTAATAGACTCTTACACTACACCAGTGAACAACGGGGAAATCAGAAAACAAATATGAAAATGTACTGAGCCAGACAACTCCCTGTCCAATAAAGAGGTGTCTTTATAGGTTATGTCACTGCTGTGAACAGCTCTGGAGAAGTTTTTAGCTCATTACTCAATACTTTGCTTTAGGAGAGTTTAGACTTTACTGGAGAAACATCTAAATTGTATATCTTGCATTGACACTATTAAAGAGAAACTAGTTCAGAGTATGATGACTAATACACATGATAAAGTAGGAATGCTAGGACTGGAAGAGCCTGTGCTAGGCAAACATGAAAAGATGCCAAAGTTATGTTTTTATGCCAATGTATGGATTTATGCTTTCAAAATTACTGGGAATTATTGAAAATGTAAAATTCACATCAATGTGAGCTCAAGCACTGAAGCACCAATTATCCACTGTTAAGTTCTGGGTTATTTATTTATTTATTTATTGCCACTGGGCTGTGTGGAGTCACAATACTGTCACAAACTTACAACCAGAAAGTATTTTGTGAACAGTTTAAATGGAGCCACAAGGGTCATGTTATTACCATGAACAGCCAAATTTAAATAGCCAGTTCCATCTGATCTGGAAATAATGCAGGCCAAGTTGGAGATGGGTGGATCAATGGGCGGTGAACATATGGTCTTCAGAAGATTCAAATTTCACTTTAGAACTTCAGTGGAGCATAAACTGATGTCCAGAGAAAAGTAAGCATGGAAATTCAATCTTGACCTTGAGGAAACACAGTAAATTGGTGTGCTGAAATCAAATTTGGAAAAACAGCAGAAGGACTAAAACAATAAGTTTGTTCCTCCAAAATAAAAGTATCAACACCCACCAAAATGTCCAAGCAGGCAGCTTTCAGGAGTGTGATCTGGTCCGCAATGGTCAGCGCTGTGAAGCCAGGCACTCGTTTGGCAAACTCCACAATCTTGATAATGCACTTAGTGGCCAGCTCGCTGAACTTGTCCCACAAGCCCAGGTCCAGCCTCACACGATGGTCTGCGCTCGAGTTCTGTAACGCACACGCATATGCAAACAACACACACACAAGCTTGAGAACAAGGTGTCAGGCGAAGAGGCAGCTACTTTTATCATTGCACAGACTGTTGCTAATGATCTCCTCAATACACTCTGCTCTATATGTGTCACACTTGCATACAGTAAATAGGCTCCATAAGACCCGAGCTCTCAAAAACACCAGCAGGATTGTTGTTGTGAATACACTGAGCTGAGCTGAGCTGGGCTGCCGGGGCCCGCGATAATGAGTGCAACAGTGTCAGTGGGATGCTTTGGCAATGATGGGATGCAGAAACAGAGCTGTGACAGTTAGCACAGATTTGAAGCCAGAGGTATCATTAATATACGTAGCTATATGGACCAGAACCTACACAAACACTAGAGGGAAGTGAGGATGAGTGGAACCCAGGGAGCAATAAAAGACAAAGCAGATCGTAATGTGCAGAGAGAGGGGAAAGGTGTAAGTAAAAGCATTGTAAGAGGCCAGAGAGCGGAAAGAAAGAGGAAATGACAGATGAAAAGTATATGAGAGCAGTGAGGCCTTGTGGAGGGGCGACGGAAAGACAAGCTCCTAGAAGGTGATGATTAAGATAAGGTCAGATCACTTGACTTGCCTGACAGCTGGTGTCATCCATCTTTGATGACAACTTTAGTCTTATTTTTGTTTTTTGAGCCATTATTTATCACTAAGGGTAACAATATACTCACAAAAGAGATAGTGATCTAGGAACATGGCAACAGTAATATAACAAAGTCTAACAGAACAAACAACACAAGCTGTCACACCAGTTGGAAGGAAATCATAGTTTACCACTTTATTTGGAAATCCAAATCACAATGTGCTCAAGGGACTTTTACCCCAAGAAAGGGTTTTGGACTTTAGCTCCAGGGAACTAAAAGTACTTTCAGGTGGAAATGCACCTTGAGTCTCATTATTATTAACAATTTATCAGAGACACTGGAAATGGTAATTCTGCTATAGCAGAGAAAAATGTTTAGTTACTATTTGCTGTAGACTAGGGCTGAAGCAAACAATTTCAAAAATGACAGGGAATGGAGGAAAAGCGAGGGCCATCAGAGCAGAAGATAGTATGATAGACAGATTTGGACAGAGGAGAATGAGCAGCAGTTGGGGAATTGTTGGGGTGTAACAGGGGGAAACTGTGGTGTGCTGGCTAATGCAGGGATGGAGCATCTGAGGATCATTCTGTGTTCTGATGGTTTGAGGTCCACATCAAATAGCTCATCTGTTCTGCACCATTGAGTCTCCACATGTAGCAAGGACACAGAACCCACAGTCACAGTGAAGGAGGTGACACACTGAGGAGGGGCAGGCGTTACTGAGTCCCCCATGTATAGGGTGGACCAGAGAAACCAGTATAGGACCAAGAAGTGGTTGCTTTGCCTTTTTAAACAGGAACATCTATTTTGTTTTTAATCTATTTTCTTTTAGCTTTTGACCTTACATGACTTTAAAAGAGTTCACAAGATATTTAAAACAACAAAAGAAAAATATTCCCACTTCTAGCCTATTTATTTCATCCCTTAAATTTGATTCTGAAAGTACTCTGTAAGTAAAAGTCCTGCATTTTAAATGTTACTGTACTTAAGTAAAAGTATTACCATAAAAACATACTTAAAGTACTCAGTACTAAAGTAAAAGTACTCATTATGCAGAACGGTCCATTTAACATTAATGTATATCATATTATTAAATTCTAATTGCTGATGTATTATTGTGTACATTACATTTTATGTTGCAGCTGATAATGGGGCAGCTGGTTTTATATGCTTATAATTTGAAGTACTTCACATACTGCTGGATAGCTTGTGAATTTTCCTCCAGAGACCAATAAAGTGATTATATGATTATACTGGAATTTTTACATTAATCCTGTTCTGAAAATTAAAGTTATAAAATAAATACAGTGGGTTAAAAAGTACAGTATTTGCCTCTAAAATCAAAGTGAAAGCATGCAGTAGCATAAAATGAAAATACTCGAGCAAAGTACAGATACCTTTGAAGTGCACTTAAGTACAGTACTTGAGTAAATGTACTTACTTTCCACCGCTGTGCAGACTGAAATTAAGTAGTAAGCAGAAGATTTTACAGTATAAAAATAAGCTGGTCAGCGCACCCTGGTGGCCAGACTCTATAATGAAGATACTGCTGTCTATTACTTCATACAGTGTTTGGGAGTAGTGAACTACATATAAACAAACTAGTAGTTTAACTACATCTTTCAGTAGCTTGCTGGTAGTTCAGCTACCTTCACATGTGCATAGTGACTCAAGTCAAATTACGTGAGCACAAAATACTTAATAATGCTATTTTTTCTTTGGGCTTTAAAAGAAAACAAAGGATTTTTAATTTTTACTTTACCCTGTTGAATGTGAGCAGATTTTCAGCATTGCCACATTTTCAGTGTCAAATGGAACCACCTGTTGGATAAGGACTTTGAGACATGTGTCGTATAAACAAGACTTCTGACAAGCTGTTCATACTGTCTAAAAATGTACAAGTTAAAGACTGGTTTAGCTGTTAAGACTGTACAAGTCATCTGTTACAAAACTGACAACAGGCCCACTGTTTTAGACTAGTCGTCCACTCACACTGTTTAAAAAGGTGCAAGTTAAATATTTTTTCTTTAGTCTGCTAATAGAAAACTAAAATATAACATTCCTTGCAGTTTTGTCCTTGTGAAAAGTCCAGATGGGTTGTTTTTTCTCTCCCTGGGGTAGCTTTGTTGTAGTTCAGCTACTTTCAGTGTGAAGTAACGGTAGCTTGTAAAACCTCTCTTTTTCAGTAGCTTCCCATACACTGCATATGTTTACTGCAATCTATTTTTGTTGCCGTTATTAGCTAGAATATAAGCAGATACTGAAAGGCAATCCATGCTTTGCGCATCCGTATGTGATCGAGTGACATCATTTTCTTCATCTTCCCAGGTCTGTGAGGATCTGTGTGGGCTCTGTGCGCACGGTCTGCACAGCAAAAGCCTTGATTGTGCATGTGCCACAGTGCATGGAAACCATCAGTATACATGGGCAGAAGGAGACCCTCGATTTGAAGTTTCAGAATCATCTTTAATGGCCAAGTAAATTTGAACATACAAGGAATCTGACTCTGCTGCAGAGGCTCTCAATGTGTTTGTAAGGCAACAGGAAAGAGAAAATAACAATGAACATAAAAATAAAAATGTGTGCACTCAAATAGGAAATATGTGGAATCAAAAACAGAAAATGAATGAGAGGGAAACGTATAAATATATTTACAGTTTACTGCGCTGTGCTGTGGTGACTGCTGTGTCCAGAAATCTTCTCTGCCTTCCTTTTGACCCATGAGGTGTACAGGTCCTCAATGGAGGGCAGACTGGCGTCGACAATTCTTTCTGCAGTCCTGACTGTTTGCTGGAGTCTGTTCCTGTCCTGTTTGGTTGCTGAGCCAAACCAGACAGTGACGGAGTGTGCACCACTCATCTGTGTTTGCGTGCGCATGAGGGTATGTGCAAAGCATGAAATTCCCTTTAGATGTGACAGGCTAATACTGCGTATCAACCATGAAACATGTCATCAGTCAGAAAGGATGTAGTGAGTGAATGGACCACAACAACTTGCAGTCAGATCTTTCCTGTTTAGATTTATAACACAGCAGCAGAAATGATGTGTGTGTTATCCGCTGTACAGTGCATCTACAGATCTGCATCTTCATATTCTGACCAGACACTAAATTTCTCATTTGAATTTTTCAGATTATTTTTTTTTATAAATTAAGACTAAACGTTTACTTATCCACACTGTCATTCGAATCCTTTACATGGGCCTAAAAGCAGTCAAATTTCCAACAAAAATCTTAAATATGGAAATCAGTCTAAGATAGCCCCAAACTGTAGAAGGTAAATGGACAAAAGTCTTTCTAGCTGCCTACTGAATTTGAATAGCAACCCCCCAAAATCTCAGAACATTGCATACTGTGGGGCATGATTTCTGAGCAGCAAACTGGTTTAGGAACTTTGACTGATCATTTGAAGGAAGGTAAGACCGGTTTCACAGATGACTTCCTTGAAGCTAAGGAAGAGAACAAAGCATGTGGGAAAACTGAGAAATACGAAGCCCTTTTCCGAAAATCCAATATGTACTTGTTATATAGGAGCTGTTTCGGTGTGAGAGGGCACGAACACTGCAGCGCCCTCCAGCTCACTGAAGTGACTGTCGACACATCAGCGTGGCTCTCTCCTTCACAGCACATCAATCATCCTGAGGTTGTTAACAGTGGCAGTTAGCACCATGGCCGCTGGACACTGTCACGAGCAAACAATCTATTGTGTGGCCTCCCAAGAGGGGAAGAGGGAGGGAGATACAGGAAGACAGAGAAGAGCATGGTTAAATATGATCTGGGGTTAAGTGAGAGGCACATTATGGCTGTGCGTAAATCACAGACAAAGAGCTGCAGTCGATGCTACAGTACTACTGATGCACATTCCACTGATTGACGTCTGATTTGATGGAGATGGAGAGGACAGAGGCACCAAGATGTGTGTGTGTGTGAGAGAGAGAAGGGGAGCGTGTTTGCACAATACACATATGTTGGGGGTGGAGGTGGCTGATATTAAAGTAACTTATCTTGCTCTTCCCTCTGGGTGGAGAGGGAGAGGGAAGAGAATGGTGAGCTAACGAGAGAAGAGGGTGACATCATTTGCAGCTGGACTTCTTTCCCACCCTGTGCAGCTTCAGTCAATTACACCAGTCCCATAATTCAATTGAGTGAAACAAGGAAGTTGCCGGAGAATTCAAATTTTATTTAGGGACATTTATCCAAACAAATTGGACAAGTTTCGACACTGGAAAAGAAGGTGGCAGTGTTGAAATGAGCACTCACCACTACGTCATCAGCAGGCTCATGTGTGCAGTTGCAGAAAGGGAAGAGGTGGTAGCAGCCGCACCTGTGACAGATAGCGACGCTAGACAAACTGTAAGGTGGCTAATATCTCCATCCTGGGCTGTGTGCTGTACAGCAGCAGCCAGTGCCCAGAGCCACTCCACGCTAAAGTTTTATTTTGGCTTTGAAACTGCAAGGCTCGTTTTTCATCACCATCACTGTCAGAGAAGCATTATTCATTGCCGACCTAAGCCCTCTCAGTCGTGCAGCTATCTCCGCCAACCCAGCAATGAACTCCTAAATCACTGCAGACTAGGATTTGAATATTTCTCCACATAATTGGAGCTTTAACCTAATCTAGGCGTGTGAGAGCTCCTCTTCTGTTTCCGACAAGGGGGACTCAAAAGGCGCATCCGGATCTAATCACTTGTAATAATGAGGAACTTCTCACAGCCTGTGAGCAAGCATAATTACCACTGATCCAGATTAAGGCTTTATCTGAAGCCCAACTGCCACTCCAGCAAACAGCAAGTACTGGCTTATAGCTGCGGAGCAATATTTTTGCTCTCATGTCCTGCCATTTTCAGATGTGGATTTTGCTTCAATACAGACTGTTTATTTTGTAAAAACAGGAAATGTCTCTTGGGAGGGGCAATGGGATGAGGGTGGAGCAGAGAAGGGTTATAACGATTAGCTGCTTTGTGTTTGGAGTGCAAGGGGGAAAAGAGCCTTATGGTGATGGATGCTGACTGTATATTGAAACGACAGCAGCAGCAGTGTACAACTGCAGAACAAACAGCTGCACTGTCTGCCTGTTTGTTCAGTTTTAACATCTCATCCCCATCTCTGCTCTAAAGTTTATTGTCAGTGACTCAATGCTTTTCATCACTGCAACAAGAGATCCATTACAGCACATTACAGCTACTTAGCAGGTTTGTTTATCTTAGTATAAACAGTATTTTATATGACTAACAGGCGTCATGAGATTTCAAAAGTTAGCACCATCAGATCATTAACTATGCACCTCCCCCCTCATGCTCTCCAACAGTCACCACACAAGGGTATTTGTGGAGTACCTGTGTCAATCACAGCTGACTCCAGCTGACTGTAACCTATATGTAAGTCATCTTAAAAACAAACACATTAGACACTGTCAGCTCCCTGCACAGTTCCGCCAGGCCTACTTGTCAATCAAAGCACCACTCTCTCTATTGCTATCGAGCAATCAGCCATCCCAAACATTTGTCTGTCAAAGCATCAAAAAAGCTCAGCTGATCAATGGTTTGCAGCGTCAGGTACATGCTGGTACTCGCTCTGGAGGTTTTCCCACCATCTGTGTGACCTCTGCCTTTCGCATCGAGTCATGCTGAGTGCACAGCCATCGTTCGGGGGAAAGGGAAGCTTGCTGTCACTCAGATGAGGGAATGTACAGTCCATTCCGCACAGGTCCCACCAACTTTCAGACTGTGTCTGACTGATGAGATTCTTCTTCCAGGCCTTGTGTGAATTAACATCTCTTCCTAGCTGGTCTTTCATGGCTTGTTAGTTTAGCACAGGGGCCAGTGTTTGAGGGTTCAGTGACAGCATATCTCTCAACCTTGACGTCTGCGGGGGAGATAATAAGCTGGAATAAAGCCTGACAAGCCATCTTGACACCCAGCTTAGCTCTGTTGCATGAATCTGATACTCAATTTACATGAGCAGATAATGACGCAAGTTGGATTTGTTGAATTTATTCAACTTTTAAGACAAGAACTAGAGGACGACATCTGTGTCTGCCTCAGCCAGACTGATGGGTAGCTGCTAGGTTCTCAAGCATTTCCCTGATGAGGCTTTACTGACATTGCAACATCTTCCATTCCTTACATCGCCCTCTTTTTTAAATTTCTCCTTTTGCAACATATAAAAAACCGGGGTAAACCAATTCTGCTTTGTCTCACTAAAGGGAGCTGGAGGATGACATGTTGGCTGGACAGTGTTATTATGATGCATTACTGTGACTGTCTCTCTATCACACATAACGTAATCAATAAGTATTGAGAGAAGAAGAAGACAAACTGTTGGTGAGGATTTGCCTGGACAGTCTCTGGTGGATGTCTGAGCTTAGGAGATGCATTAGATGGGGATTCAGAGTACAGTACAAGAGATTGATTATCATTATTAGAGCTGCACTCAGGGCTAATTTGCAAGACTGGATCAAAGAAGCAAACCATGCCACTGGCCAATACAGGTTAACAGAGTTAAACAGTGTAGCTCTGTTATGTTTTTGACTCAAAATGAGGAGCAGTCAGTATAGCAGAAATATGTTTTTCCAGGCACTGCAGGACTGGACTCACCGTGGTGTATTTGCCCAGCTGGCAGAGGGAGGGGAAGGTTTCTTGATGGGCCTTCCGAATGTTTTCAATGATGTTCTCCAGCTCTGCTGTCAGCTCGTAGCTCTCTGCCATCTCCAGCTTTGGGCTTTCTTTCTTCTTCTTATTCCGGTCATTTCGAACAGCTGAAGGAGAACAAAGGATTAGCGTTAACAATAGTGGTAGGTAGGTAGATAGTTAGGTAGGTACTTTATTAATCCCACAGTGGGGAAATTTCTGTGTTACAGCAGCAATAGAGAACAACCAACATAACACCATAAGAACAGAACTTCATAGAAACACGGGAAAGACCACAATGGGGGAGAGAAACCTGTGTTTCAGCCATAAGGATCTCTGAGCAACTACTCGAAAATACCTAAAGCAGGACAATGTCCAGTATTTGAGAGAGATCAGGAACAAGATATTACACATGAGCCTATTTACAATGCATTTCACCCCCAGGAGCTGAATATTGCACCTCAGAAGATTATTGCATAGTCCCTCATAATTTCACCTTGTTACGATCGCTCGGACATGGAGGAGAGCGAGTAAGAATAAACGGACCCAGGTAGCTGACTTTGGTGCAAGCAGTGCTAATTTATTTACAGTGATAATAACAGACAGGTAACTAGACAGGTGAAGGGAGATGGAGTGTAACCGGGCGATGAGCAGCAGCAGGGAAAACAGTCAGTTGTGCGATGAATGATGGTAGACTGGGCTGCGGACACTGGGGGTCACTCCTGAACTGGTCATGGTTTGAAGCAATGATGGCTAAGAAGACAGAAGTAAGTATAGATAGTTAAAAGACGACTGTGCATCGACCTGTATGGTGGTGTTACGATCGCTCGGACATGGAGGAGAGCGAGTAAGAATAAACGGACCCAGGTAGCTGACTTTGGTGCAAGCAGTGCTAATTTATTTACAGTGATAATAACAGACAGGTAACTAGACAGGTGAAGGGAGATGGAGTGTAACCGGGCGATGAGCAGCAGCAGGGAAAACAGTCAGTTGTGCGATGAATGATGGTAGACTGGGCTGCGGACACTGGGGGTCACTCCTGAACTGGTCATGGTTTGAAGCAATGATGGCTAAGAAGACAGAAGTAAGTATAGATAGTTAAAAGACGACTGTGCATCGACCTGTATGGTGGAGACTGGTAGGGTTGAGTAGTTCCAGGGTCTGGAGAAGAAGCCCGTGGAGGAGGAAGGTGTAGCAGGAACAGAAGCAATAGTTTATGGAGGCGAAGGGACAACAGGGCTGGCAGGGTCTTAGGGAAAACACGTAAGGACTAGGAATCATACAACTGGTAGGAAACCAAAAATAACTAGCAAAGACGGGCCTGAGGGTCGAGAAAGAACTGGCAGGGGAGTGAACGATGAGCAGGGTATAAGTAGGGAGGAACTAATCAGGTGCAGCTGGTGATAATCAGGGGAGGTGAAGCGGGTGTGCCAGATAGTGTAATCAGGGTAAAGAAGCCAAAACAGAGTGAGGGAAGTGAGAAGGGCAGGTGCAGCCGGGCAAACCTGACACACCTAGTTTATCACTGCAGTGATGTGTTGTACAGTCTGATTGCTGTGGGGAGGAACGACCTACGGTAATGCTCCTTCTTACACTGGGGATGTAACAGTCTTGTGCTGAAAGAACTGTTCAGAGCCACCACTGTGTGGTGCAGGGGATGGGAGGGGTTATGCATGATGGATGTTAGTTTT